CCCCAAAACCCCAAAACCCCAAAACCCCAAAACCCCAAAACCCCGAGCTAATAAATTATAACTAAATTTTAAAATTATTTAAACTATGAATAATAAGAATCCCTCATCAGCAAACTTTGACATGCTAAGTCAAGACAAAATGGATGGGAAACCGCCCGGAAAACTTCAGTCAGCTGATCTGTTGCCGGGGAATTCAGGTAACTCTAATTCAGATACAAATCCAGATATCTTGTTTCAGAAGCATTACTCTAAAGAGCTGAAGGTTAATGAGGATGAGATCCCCTTTGTCCTTGCTGAATTCACTGAAAATTCACTCAGATTTATTAAAAAGGAGCAGTATGAAAAGGCTCTGATTTTACTACAGAAAGCACATGGAATCATTAATGTTATTTCCATTGAAGGATGTACAAGAGATAAATATTTCGGCTATGTTATTTTCGTCAATATGGCTGTATGATTTCAGAAATTAGGAAGTCTGGAAGAGTGATCCATTGCACTCGAAAATTCCCTCAGTTACTTAGACAAATATACATCTCTTACAAACCAAACTATTGCAAAAAGAATGAAACTAATGCAACAAGAAGCCCGTATTAGAATCCAACTCTGTGCTCTCTTCTCCCAACTCCACCACCACACAGATGCTTTAGAACAAGCAAAGATGAGCACCCGTCTAATCCACGGTCTAGTCAAAGACCTCCTCGCTCTCTGCGACTACTACACCAAAAAGAAGTTCATCCAGGACAAGACCACCACCTACTCCGACTCTCCCCTTCCCCAATCCCACCCAAAACAGAACAGATCCTACCTAGACCACACCTCCCACAACCTATTCTCCACCAGTGAAGACAAGGAGCAACACAGAGGGTCTCGGAGACCCTCTGTGTCTCCTTATCGCCAAGCTGTTGTGCATAACTACGTTGAGGAAGACCTGTCGCTTATTGAGAGGACTGCCCAAAGAGTAAAACCTATTATTGAAGCACTGAAGAAGTGACTGGTCACGGAGAAGGAAATAAGTGGGAAAGGAAAATAATGAGGTTTTAGGTAAGATATTTGAGGGTTTAGGTGGGGAAGTTTGGCTTTGGGGTTATTGGCTGGGAAAGAAGAATTAGGGGGTTGTATAGGTTTTGAGGGGGAATGAGTTGTGTTTAGTGTCGATAGAGGATGTTGAGGATGTTGAGGAAGATATTGTGATAGAAGAGAAGAGAGAGAATAAACAAGAAAAAGAAAAGAAAGAGAAAAAGATGATAGAACCTGATATGAGAATTGTGCTGGGATATCTCAATCAGCTGGAAATGGTTTCTAATCTGAATATTGGTAATATTATGCAAATTCAACCTGTGAAGATTGAAGATCTTTTGTCTATTCCAAGGAATGAGACTGAGTTCAATAGAACTTCTTTTATTGAAAAGATATCATTACTTTGAGTGACATATTTCTGTATCTCCACAGAGATCAGATTTATCCTTCAGTTAAGAGAAGATGAAGAATATGACGAAAAAGAAAAGAGTGAAGAGTCTGAATATTGGCATTCTAAATCTCTTGAAATAGCTTGAACATTCCTTCCAAGTGACTGACCTCTTTTAAATCATATCTTGCTCAGCTATCAAAAACATCATTCCCCTTGACAGCAAACTATCCCTGAGGATAATGAAAATGAGCTCAGTTTGCACATAGTAAAGCCTCTGAAAGGAATCGAAATTTCAAAATTTAAACCCATTATACGAAAACTAAAATCTGAGCACATTCAATTAACACCTCCTAGCTTCTCACCTGCTGACACAATTACCAACCAGCTTGTGTTATCTTACCAAGCTTACAACACCTACGGCCTTAACAATCCTTCCCAAGAGAACCCAAATTACAGCAGCACCAAAGAGAAATCCAGAAACACCGGTACCACTCGCTACAGATCCACCTCTAACAACAAACCTACAGATGAAGAATCTTTCCGTTCTGCTCACTCCAAATCCCTTATAAACTCAAACAACAGTTTTTCTAAAAAGAACTCCTTGGGTAATCCTTCAGACCGGAAGATCATCGATAAGCTGCTGGCTTACATCATGAAGGACAAAAATCTGACAGATAAAGATAAGCTACTAGAAGCCCTAACTTCTGATGATTTTGACCTTGAGAATTCATTCAAGAATTACTCCAAAAATATAAGAGAAAAGGATAAAGATTCCTTACTCATGGACTCAATGCTGAACAACCAGCATTCGACTAGTTATAAGGAGATTCAGCCTGAAGATTTTATGGCAGCAGGGTTTCAGAACAAGAACTCTAGCAAAGTCAATATGACAGAGAACATCATTGCAAGTAAACACCTTTTTCAGAATAAGAAGAAAGCTAAAGAAAAGAAACTGTTGAATAAACTTATTGATAGATCTTCCTCTAGCCAGAAGAAAAAAAGACCTAAGAGCTCTAAAGGAATCAGGGTATGCCCTAATAAGATTAATTCAATTACAAATACTGAGCAGAGTAAGCCAAGGAGAAGAACAGGCAACAATGTGAGCTCTCATTTTGGATTCAATAAAGCTAAACCAAGACAAAATTACAAAAAGAAGGGCAATTTAGTTGGTAAGTGTATCCAAAAGCTCATTATTAATTTCTTTAGGTCTGAAACCCCAATCAAGTAAAGATTCGAGGAACATAAAATCCATTCATAAGTAATACCATGTGCATAATAAATAGCATGAAATCTCCCAAAGATGCTCAGATTGATTTCAAGGCGTTATTTCAAAAGAACCTGTATGAAATCTGCAACAAATTTGACGCAAAGAAATTATTCGCTAAAAAGAGCCAAGTAGTAATCCCAAACACTAAGAGTTCAAAAGTAACTAAATCCCGCAACACAAGGAAGCAACTAGCAGGAGTCAAATCTTTAGGCTCAGATTTGAACAACTACTCTCAATTCAGATCCCAAAACCTCAAAGAAAACTGCGAAAAACGATCTCGAAAATCTAGACCCAAAAAACCCAAGCATACCAAAAACCCTGAACTAAACTTCAAATACCCTCACAGCCTACTTGAAAATCTGCCGAACCCCCACCCCCACTTACAGCCCGCGTCCCTGCACTACTCAAAACCTCTTCACAACATCTCTATCACAACGAAGGCTGGCCAGAAGCTTTCGCACAGTAAAACTTTCATGGCTGATTTCCCGAAGAAAGGTCAGCCCAAGAAGTTGGTGCATCAGAATTATAAGGAAATGAGAAAGATGTTAGGGAAGGAGTAGGGAGATTGGAAAAGGGTTTGGAGAGAGGGAATTTGGAAAGTAATTATCTTATTTCAACTGCTTATCCCTTCTTTGGGGTTTTGGGGTTTTGGGGTTTTGGGGTTTTGGGG